ACCAGGGGGCATAGGCAGGGAATCACAAGCTGTGTCTGAAACCGCTCACTCGTTCACTCATTCACTAATCCCTATATAGTGTATGGCATTTGAGTGCACTATATCTGCAAGGAGTGAAGGAGATGAAGTGAGTGAATTCGGACGCTGACGTTTACACTGTGCGTCGGAGAGTTGGAGCTGTCGCAGAAAAGGCTTCGTCACGCGTACTGATAAAACTCCTTTTATCTTACATTACCTAGTTTATAAAATAATATTAACAACAATAACAATCATAATGACTTTATTTTGTAATTATACCTCCGTGCCAGCTTTGTAGTTTCATCGACTGAAATTGTACATTAACTCTCACGTTCACAGATGACGTGTCGTCGAGCGCCCTCCGGCGACCGTTATTATGTTCAAAACGACGATTAACGGATATTTTTCAAATCCTCCACTGGATGTAATGTAATCTCTGGTTTAAACTTGCTCGCGCCGAACTTTCATGCGCGCTCAGTTCTCTCCGCATTGGATTGTGGGAAATAGGGCTTCAGCGAGTGTACATCGAATGTACACTCGAATTCAGAGAGGATTGTGGGTAAAAGTAGTGAATGAATGTAGGGAATGATGTCGTTCACTCAGAATTCGGACACCACTACAAAATGGCCGACACCCGATATAGTGCACTATTTAGTGGATAGGGAGCGATTTCAGACACAGCTACAGTATTGCTGAGACTATAAGAAGGAGTCACAGGTGAATGGCGTTAGGGAATTAGGACATGGGGAAGCCACACAGTTTTTCAACCGTGCTTGCGTGCATGTGTGGATTGGTTTGATGGAGTTTGTCATGTCCTGTTGTTAGCATGGTGTTTACTGTTTTGCATATATGAGCTCAACTTACATCAGAAATGCAAGCAGTAATGTGATTTTAAGTAATGTTATTAATAAAGTAAAGTGAGAACCGCATGCCATGGCAGACCTGATTCATTGCACTCAAACGAGTTGGAGATGACTTCACATTCCCTCAAGTGGCTTTATTTTGTGATACGATCGCCACTACAACAACGTTTAAAGGACCAGAATTTATTTGAAATAGAAATGTATAAATTCTTTACTGTCACATTTGATCAATTTAATGCATTCTTGCTGAATAATAGTGTTTTATTGCAAGTATTTAATGCTTTGGACATCAAAAATCCCTTGTTTAAAAATCTGACGTCAGTGATGTTGAATAAGCACAGTGAGTAATGCAGCCATACTTAAAGCTTTTCCATCCCAGAGCATTTACATCTTCACTAACTTTGATCCTAATTACCATCCAGATATAGCCGTTGTGTAAATCACATGGTTTATATATTTTTTTTCGCTGTGACGCACTCTGGGCTTTTAGACAGACTCTCATCTCTCTCTCCGTCTATACCTCTGCACCTGAAAATGACCTTCGGCGAGGAAGCTTTTTATCTGAATGTTCTCCTGTGTCCATCTGGATGTGATATAACTCAAATTATTCATCAATGTCCCTCATCATTCAACTGTTGGTCTAATGTTCCTGTTAAATGGACTGCGTGTCCAGTGCTTGCATGCTGATTTTCTCGATCCAAATGTACTGAAGTCTTTACACACTATAAAGGTTTCTGCTGCTGCTAAGTCATTGTGGAGAGTAAAATTTGTAGAAAGAAAAAATATATATTGGTAAATCATGATGTAGTGTCAAATACGGTCTAAATTGTCATTTGTAATCCCCCTAGGCTAAACCCAGTCGTCTGCACTGCTCTCACTGCGACGAGACGTACAGTTTACCTCAGAACGGAGCCATTAAGCTGTACAAAGAGCTCAAGTGTCCTCTGGATGAGTTCGAGCTGGTGCTCTGGACCTCAGGGTCGCGTGGCAAGAGCTACCCTGTGTGTCCTTACTGCTTTGGGAACCCTCCCTTCAGAGACATGAAGAAAGGTAGGAGAGACCCTGTTTCTCAAAGCAAATTGTTTTTGGGTGGTTCTTCATTTAGGATTCTTTTAAACGTGTCCTAAAAAAAGAAATCTGTAATCAAGATCTGATTATGCCCTTGATAAACCTTTGCATTTTCATATAAAGTGATGAAGATATTTTTTTTTCTTACTGGTTGGATAAACAATCTTTCAAGTTTATGAAAATAAAAAGGAAGGGATTGGAGATGTTGCCGCAGTTCTTCTGTATTTATGCGGTCTCAGTTTTTTTTTTCCTTTAAATAATCCCATATGGACTCGATGTTTGTGAGATCGTTTGCAAAAATCTCACTGGATTATACAATAATGGCAAAAGGAATGTTTGGAAATGTAAAACTGATATTTCCTACTGACACATTACAGCTAAAGATAATATAAATAACTGGCTTAACTACTTTTTTTTGGTAAATACTAACATGCCTAAAACGTTCGCACAGTACTGATAAATAAATAAATATATATATATATATATATGTGTGTATGTTTATTTATTTATTTATTTTAATAAAACATGTATACATTTTATATTTTTAAATATTGTGGTCAGTAAGATTTTTTTTTAAATTAATATTTAATTTTTTTTATCAAAAGTGATGGTAAAGGCTTTTACAGTTTTACAAATGAAACAAAGAATTCTTAAAAATCTTGAGCAGCAAATCAGCATATTAGATTGATTATTTGTCATTAGTAATGATGCTGAAAATGTAGCTTTGCATCACAGGAATAAATTACATTTAAAAATATATTTAAATAGGAAAAGATTATTTTAAATTGTAATAATATTTTACAATGTTACTGTTTTTTTTTTTTACCTAACCCTAACCTGAACATAAGAGACTTATTTTAAAAAAACATTCAAAAATCCTTCTGAACCTTAACTTTTAAAAATTAATGTATTTAAAATAAACATATAAAATATAATCTTTTAATAAATGTATTATAGTGGTCAAATAAAAACATGTGGGTGGGGGAAAGGTCCAAGATTCTGGCAAATGTAACCTTTTAAGCCTCTTAAAACCAAGAAAAGATAAGAGTTCTCCTATAAAAATAGCCCTAATGTAATTTCTCTTTCTCTTTCCCTCAGGGATGGGATGTAACGAGTGCACCCACCCTTCCTGTCAGCACTCCCTCAACTCTCTTGGGATTGGTCAGTGTGTTGAATGTGAGACGGGTGTCCTGGTCTTCGATCCCACCTCGGGCCCAAAGTGGCGCATGGCCTGCAACAAATGCAATGTGATGGTGCATTTCTTCGAGCACGCCCATAAAGTGCAGGTGTCCCAGGACAGCTGTGAATCCTGCGAAGCGTCTCTGGTTATAGTGGACTTCAACAAGACACGCTCGCCGTTGCCTGATGGTGAAACGCAGCACACTGGCTGCGTGTTTTGCGATCCTGTGTTCCAGGATCTGGTGGAGCTGAAACATGCGACCATGCGGCATCCCATGCACCGGGCCGGAGGAGCCCGCAGAGGGAGAGGGAAGGGGAGAGGGAGGAGGCCTATGGGGAGAGGGAATCCTAAAAAGCCTAAAGACAAAATGGCAGCCCTGGCAGCGTATTTTGTATAAACTGTTTTGTAAAGCTTATTTGTCTTGGAGTAGAAAATTAAAGACAGCTTAATTCGTCTCAATGTGCAAACTAAAAAGATGAAAATGGCAATAAAGTTTTTAGTTTAACAGAGTCTGTGCTGTTTTGTGTGTGTTTATGTCTGCTTACACATGTATTTATTTAACAGACACTTTTATCCAAAGTGACAAATCTTGTTTTTATTGAATATTGCAGTGTTTGTTATAAAATTATTTTTTTATGCTCATCATAATTTTTTTGACAATATTTAATCAACTTCCCCTCCCATGTACAGTGACATCTTTTCTCTGATGACGTGTTTAGCGGTGCGAGGGTGGGACAACCTGTCACTCACATGAGATCCACCAATAGCAAACCACAACCATCCAATCAATGCGTGATGGACAAAATCAAGTCCCGCCGCACATTTTTTCACTCAGATATACATCTCAATAGATAAAAAAAGACTATTGCAACTTCCGTTGCATGTCGATTTTAAAAATAAAGTTGCGTAATTTATTTTCAATGCATCAAAAACAAAATGATATTTAAACACCTTTCACTGAATTGTATATACATGTAGCTTCTTATTTTGGCCAACACACATCTATATGCAACAATATAACATTCATTTTATAGATACAATATGAATCACTTTACATAAACTTCCCGAAACACATTATGATCCAAATAAACAAATGGCTAAAGAAAAAAAAAAACTGACTATAATACTACTTTTTGTTTTTTTGTACATGGTACCACAGCAAAAGCATGTTTGTTTATATCTACCACTGTATTTCCATTTGATACCATCACTGTAGCATGGTAGCCTATAACAACAGTGCTTCTTTGAAAAAAAAGTACTGCTAAGTATTTTATTTTATTTTATGTCACGTTAAAAACACATTTTCAGGTATATCCATGCTAAAAAATATTGTCTCTATCAAAACACTCATGTAGTCGAACACTTTTGTTATGATTATATGCATTTTAAAACATATAATATCATGAGAAATGTTCATTCTGAGTATATAATGAACAACATTTTACAATGTTTAACAGATCACATTATTGCTGCTGTCCATGATTAGAGAAAAGGTATATTTGATTTTTTTAGAGTTCACTTCACTTGTCTATCAATTTCATGTTTAATAATAATACATGTTTGAATTGCTCCATATTAGTGCATCTTTGCGTATATAATGAAAATAATTTATGAAAAAAAAAAACGTTGCCATTACAGAAATTGCCGTAGACCTTTGCTTATGAATATTAATTACGTTAAGTGAATGACTGGACGCTCATTGGCTGGCCCATTAAATGGAATGTATTCATATTCATAAGATAGCTATATCTCCGCCCAGGCAGCCAACACGATCTGACAACCAAACGGATTGACTTCGTCCAGTCTATTCCGCACCTCACACGGCTGTTCTTATCTCTTTGTATATCGCTATATTTGTACTTCCTCTCGGTCACAGGGACTTCCGCAGACGGACTGGCTTTTGTTGTGTAGTGACTGAAAGGGCGTGCGTTCATGCACGAGCTCTTCAATTCGCACTCGTCAGGGAAAAAGGGAGTGTCGGTGCATTAAGCAACACGAACCATCCATAAAGGTAAATACAACACGTTTATGCACGTCTATGTTCTCCTTTATGTTGTTAATCAAACTAACCAGTTGCTGTAGTTGAAGGCCCGGTTGTTCTGCTTCCAAATGGCGACAGTAACTTACGTGCATTTTTTTCTCCGTAGGAGTCATGTTTAAGTTAAACCATGAATTCTTGCAGTTGTTAATTAACCAAAGTTTCCTGCATGTAATGCACTGCAGTTTGCAATAATTTCAGTTTTGCTGGGTTATATGGGTAATGTTTTTGCGATAACGTGAAGATCTGTGGGTAGTATGAATTTACTGCATATTGGATACATTGTGTGAGGTGTATCACAATGCATGTGTTTCCCTTCGTTATTATTTAAATAGTCTTAAAGCGTAAAATTATATATATATATATATATATATATATATACAAACAAGTAACCCCTTCCTAAACGCACACCATTGGTTGAGGATGACAGGGGGCCACTTCCGATTGTACTGATTGGCTAACTGTCATATGTTATTCTGTACTATTACCGTTAACAACATAACTGCTTTTTGAACTGATAGTGGCAAGTATATTTACGTAGCCTAGGTGATTATGTATGGTTATATTGTGTTAATTTATTTTTTATTTTTTATTTATGTATAGAGTCAAACATCAGAGTTGCTTTGGACATCCCTGACCTTCTACATTGGTAGAGGTTGCAATTCCATACAATGAGTTGTGCGAATCAAGGCGATGCTGCAAAGTTTCTCGAGAGTTTTCTGGTGGAGTTTCCAAACCCACTTGGCACAGAAGACCTGCTTCCCGTCAGTCCACTCAGCCGCAAAGTCTCTCTGCAGGAGGTGAAGGGAGAGAGTCTGGATCTCGGGCTCCGCCTGCTCTCAGACAGGTTTGTTGTGTGCGTACAGTCTGAATGTCATCTAGGTCAGGGGTTTTCAGTCTTTTGGATGCCATGGACACCTAAACGTGATCAACACAAAATCAAAATATTTTCAAAATATTTAGCTGCGTTTTAAATTATAGGATTGGAGGGACCCCTATCCTATAATTTAAAACGCAGCTAAATATTTTCATGTATGAAGATGCCATTTATACTGTAAAATTTTGATATTATAAATATGTAAAATATTGTTTGGAAAATATTTAATTTCTCTTATGTTACATAATTTTTTCTTCATTATAGTACAGTACTATATATACACACACACACACACACATATAATTTACATTTATTTATTTACTATATTTATTTAGTATTTTTATTTACTATATTTATTAACTGTATTTGTTTATTTACCAATTTTATTTATTTACTATTTCTATTTATTTTCTATTTTTATTTATTTACTATTTTTTATTTTTTATTTACTATTTTTTATTTATTTATTTGCTATTATTATTTATTATTGTATTATTTATATATATATATATATAATTTAGTTAGATCTTGTTTTTATTTATCTTTTTTTACTTTACTTTTTTTATTAAATATTATATTTTAATCATGTTTAACAATTATATTTATTTATTTAGATCTTCTGTTTTATTATGCATTTCTTTATTTTTACATCGTTTTTCTCTAAATGCTCCATAGCACTCCCTTGTGGCCCCCTGATTGAAAACCCCTGATGTAGGATTTTGCAGAAGAGAGAGAATGCATTTATATTTTCAGTTGGATGGCAGACTCTTCTCTCAGCTATGAATACAGCTTTATATTTGTGTCCTGAATTAATTCTTAATTTTTTTAAAAACATGTACAGGATTTTTAAAAGGCCCAGAAGGAGGCCTGAAATGTTGCGACACCTGTCCTCTTTAACCAGAGGAGCCTGTCATTCCTCTCATTCCTGTCATTCCTGCCTCTCTCCCCATTTGCTGTCTCTCTTTAATTTGCAGACAGTATTTGTCCCAGATCAGCATGTTGCACTAGCATGAGCTGATTAAGAGATTTGGGTCTTTTTTTCCCCCCCCAGTGTACTATGGGTGGGCAATCCACGCATTAAGTGAAAGCGCTGGTGCAGAAGTTTTAAAGTTTAAATTAACAATGGGGTTTTTGTTTAATCTCTTTCTGTATCCATTTCCCTCTCTCCCCTGACGCATTTCTCAGGGCAGACTTCCTGTCTGTGGAATCACTATTGTTATACCCACTTCCTGACATTTAGACTTCATTTCCTCTTTGTCGGAAGCTGTGCCGAATGTCTGCACAGTGCAGATTTGTCAGGTTTAAACCCTTTTCATGATATGATATAGGTCAGAGAGGCATGCCTTTACCGCATTTCTTGTCAAGTAGGACAAAAGGCAGTTTCTTTTCTGACATCTTGTTATGTCATTCGATAACATCTCACGCAGCCAAATGCTTCTTGTGTTGTTATGAGTGGGCGGTCGGGCCATTTGCCAATTGTATCTCAAGCAGGCAAAGTGTTAAATCTAGTCTTAAAAACAGAACAGATTCACTAGTGCAAGATGTGCTTTTTTTTCTCCAGTTTGTGAGAATCCACAAGTATGATTTTAAGAAATTAGCTTATCGCAATATTTTATTACATTTTTCAACCAAATTTTTACTTTGTACTGTGTACATTACTATTCAAATGATTTTTTTTCTCTCCAAAGAATATATGCTTTTATTTGGCAAGGATTAATTAAATTAAATTGATCAAAAGTCACAGTAAAGGCCTTTATAGTGTTACAAATTAATCTATTCTATTTCAAATTAATGCTGTTCTTTTGATCTTTCTATTTATCAAAGAATCTTGGGTGGGGAAATGTATCATGGTTTCAACAAAAATATTAAGCAGCTCAGCTTTTTTTCAACATTAATAATAAGAAATGTTTCCGGAGAAGCAAATCAGCATATTAGAATGATTTCTGAAGGATCATGTGACACTGAAGACTGGAGTAATGATGCTGAAAATTCAGCTTTGCACCACAGGAGTAAATTACACTTTCAAATATTTAAATAGGATTCTGTTCATTTAAATTGTAATAATATTTCACAATATTAGTGTATTTTATTATGATGGAATAAATTTAGCCCTGATGAACATGAGAGAGTTACTTGAGTTGTGAACAAGAACACGAGTTACTTGAGTTGTGTGTTGAACTGGTGACTTGAGTTTTTTTTTTATATCTTATATCTTATATTATTTATTTTTTTTTTTAAAGAAATGCCCCAGTCTGGCTGGGTGCAGCGATGTGCAATGCTGCTGTCACTGAATTGCTTAAAGATGACCTTTCACCTCACTACTGCCCCAAAGATATTGAACAGCAACCGGAGGATGAACAGGGAGTTGTTTGTAAGTGATTCACTTGATTTGATTCTTGTTCTTTTCTGTTTTTGACATTTTGGGTTATTGTATTTTATATGTGTGATTTTTATATATATAATATATGCACAGTTATTGTAGTCATAATTACTGGCACCCCTGGTAAATATGATCAAAAATGGCTGTTAAAAATGTATCTGCATTATTTAACCTTTTGATCTTTCATTCAAAAAAATTGCAAAAATCTAACCTTTCATTAAAATAAAAGATTTGAAACTGGGGTGGAAATCACATTACGAAATATGTTTTTCTCCAAAACACGTTTGCCACAATTATTGGCACCCCTAGAATTTTTTACAAGTAAAAGTATATTCCCTTTAATATTGACCTTTTTTAGCACACCAGGGTGACTAGGAACATGAAATTGGAAAGGACAAATTCCCCTTAATCACCCATCACAATGAGTAAAAGCAAAGAATATAGTTCTGATGTGCATCAAAAGATTGCTGAGCTTCACAAAATAGAAGGTTTCTGTAAGAAAATATAGCTAAAGAATTGAAATTCCCCATTTTGACCATCAGGGCAATAAATACAAAGTTCCAATCAACAATAGATGTTACGAATCTGCCAGGAAGAGGATGTCTGTCTATATTGTCTTAAAGGTGCCATATGTAATAATTGAGGTAAAAATATCCAAAAAATGAGCTACACGCATCAAAAGAATGAGAAGAAATAAGTGCAATGATGTAATTAAAAAACTGACAAGTTATAGTGCTGCCGAGATATAAACCTAAATTAGCATGCTAAATGACTAGCCCCGGCCCGGCAGGTGTCGTAATACCAGTTCCGGCCATGGGAGGCGGTATGCGGACGGGCAACGTTACCACCAGCCAAACTGCAGTACACGAGTGAGTCGCGCTCGCGCCGGCTTGTGTGTGTACTTGAACCTGATGTCAGTCGTGTGGAAATACAGCCCATTACTACATTTCAGTTCAGGGAAGAGTTCAAAAAATGATTGGTTGACATTATGCATGAGGAATACATTTTGGTAAGTTGTAGCATACTGTATCTTTCAACAGTGTTCGGGTTCTTTTTCCATTAGCTAGTAGAGATGATCGGTTCACGTGCGCTAGGGATCTGTGGTGTAACATGTACAAGCGCCAAAACGGTATTTATTGTTTGAATTGCATAATAAAATTGACAGAATCTGAGAGCTTAACTAACCTGCTTGCTAAGTGTTAATTGCATGTGTCTCACGGTGAATTCGTGAGAGCTGGCAGCTCTGAATTTCGCTAGGTTGATCAACATCAGCGAATGCTGTCTGTCAAATTAATTCAAACTAACAATAAAAGTGTAATATGAACAAAACGAATACCGTAAACTTAAAATAATAGCCTGCAGGCTTTTATTTTCCCATATCGTCGAAATGCAACAGCTTGTTTTTGAGACAGGCGTCTATGAGTCGGTCTTCATTATTTAGTGTTGAGATGTTGTTCATTTAGTCTCTGATCTCTAAAAATCTCCAAATGCTCCACGTGAAACTGCGGTCTTCCGACCCTTTACTATCGTGTCAAATGATTTGAATAATATGTGGAGAAAGAGAGCAAAACAGCGCTCGTTTGTGTTGTTTGAAGACGTGAGTGCGTGCGGCAGCGGCACAACACATTTTCTGGAGGTATACTGCCCCCATCTGTTATGGAATATGGAACATTTTTTGATTTTTAGTTCCAGATGGCACCTTTAAAGCAACATTAAAGAAGATTTTTTTTCCCTTAAAATAATGTATCCAAAATCGTTTCAGCGGTTCATCAAGTCATAACCGGGTGAAAGGCACTTCTGCCTTCACTTTACAGTCCTATATCTGCTATAATAACACTATGTAAGTTTGCCAGAACGGTAGGCTGACCGTATTTTGATTACCAAAAACCAGGACACTCAGCCCGGCAAACAGATGCTCAAATGATACTCGAAGTTTACTCAAAGATGCCTTATTAATTTCAATACCTTTAAAGTAGGCTATGTTTTTCTTCCTCATCCTCCTTGTTTGCACATCTATAATTTGCTGTAGAGCTGATCTTTCCCAGCGTTTTTTTGAAAACCAGGACATTTTCATCACTTTATAAAAAACAGCCAGGACAGGACGTGAAAACAGGACATGTCCTGGGAAAACAGGACTGTTGGTCACCCTACAGAATGGGTTGCGTTTCTGTAGTTCAAATGAGACATAAAAAACTACAAATTTGTCTAGCTTCAAGCGTTACTTACAATAGTCATTACCGGTATTTAGTTTTTCTTCGTTTTTGATGTCACCATAGATCTTACTTTCATGAAATCATGTAACATACTCTACCTTGTCCGTGGACATCGTTCATTCCAAAGTGTTAGCTAAACGAGCGAGCGCGTGTGCGACAGTAGGCTGCGGTTGGCTAAATTATTTACGACAGCGGTAATGGACAATCCGCTTCCAACCTGTTGGGGGACCGAAGAGGGAAAGTTCTGTAGTGTTGCTTTAAAGCACGGGGATTGAATTGCCAAAGAATTGCAGAGATTACTTGAGTCTTGGGGTCCGAAGCCTACCAACCTAAAACAATCAAACAACCCCTACAGTACATCACCACATGTTGTTTGGGAGGGTTTCAAGAAAGAAAATCCTCATCGCTCCTCCAGAAACAAACTCCAGCATATTCAGTCGTCAGACACGACTGGAACTACAAACAGCTCAGGGTTCTGAGTCAGTATCGATGATAATCGCTTACTGCGTCCTCTAGTGTTCAAACATCAGTGTTATTTAAAAGTAATTCATTACCTTACAATATTACTGTCTCAGAATTGTAATGCGTTACATTACTCATGTATTACTTTTGAGTTACTTTCACCAAAATAACTAAGTAGTACTTAACTTTGGGGCTGTAACGATATGCAATATGAAACCGAAATCGCGATTCGCCACACGACTCAGATCCACAAACCTACAGAATCGCGACACACCTCTTCCAACTCCAGCGTTATTCTCCTTACCGTCCAGTTCCAATGCTGCCTTATCTTTAAATTAGGCTATTAGTATTATTTGAAGTTAACATTATAAAATACGTAGACCTACACCACAAAACTAGTTGAGGATAAATTATTTAAAATTGGGGAAGTCCAGCATTATGGACATGACATTTGCAGTCAAAACTTGAAATTAAAATTCTCAGAAAATACATGTATTGAAACGTATGTAGGCTACTTCCTTAAAGGACTCCAGACATTAGACAAACATCAGTCTGTTTTATTTTTAATATTAGGGAAAAGACACACATTCATGGGTGACAAAAAATAGGAGGCAAAATATATTTTTTGTAATTCTGTTAATTACACTGCGCAAATCGGATGAGGCAGGGTTGGCTCTCCAGTCTCCATAGAACTTAAAATATTCATTTTATTTTAGTTTTCGTGTTCGCATTTATGAGGAAAAAACAATGTTACAGACGCGACCGCTCTGAACTGGCACTAAAAGACTGCTTTAAAACTTTCACATAGTCTGTTGCCTTTAAGAAGTAAAAGCAGACAATACACTGTAATACAACTGTAATACAAGCCTCACTGAACATGTAACGAGTAAAATATTACTGAAAATTGATTAGTAATGCCTTACACTACTGCGTTACAGCAAAAAGTAATATGTTACTGTAATGTATTACTGTTGTAATGCGTTACTCCCAACACTGTCAAACATTAGTACGTGAGGAGGATACAGTTTTTACATTATGTTTGAAAACGTATCTCTCCTTGTAAAGTTCATGCCTGTGTTGTTGACTCTTTACATTTATTTTAGTCTGGATGTATGATTTCTAAACTTTTACTCAAACAATGTTGTATCATGATGAGCGTATGTGTCTGTGTGACCCTTCAGTGTTGCAGTCGGAGCCCCTACAGCGCCTCTTTATAAATAAATTGAGAGAGGTGTGTGTGGCCTGGCAGAAACAGCTGCCCAGTCCCGGTTCTTCCTCTTCACTGACACACAGCTGCTCTGTTCACGCCATTCGAAACACTCGCAGGAAGATGGAGGATCGTCACATGATCTTGAAAGAGTTTAACCAGCTTCTGGGATTGAAGGTGAGGCTACCACATATTTCCTCAAGACTTTAATGAATGAATGAAGACCTGCATTGGGTAGATCAATTGTAGGGGTGCATGGGTAGATATTTAACCAAACATGTGCATACCATAACCATAACCAACCAATATGCATATTTCACTATTTTTTTTAGGTTTTTATTACTGTCATTTCAACATTCTCTTACATTTGGATGGTACCTGAAATCTTAGTAAAGAAATCAACAATTGGATATATTGGCTGAAAGACAAATCAATAAATAGGAGAAACCGAAATTACATCCATAATGGTAGTTACAAATACATTTTAATTAAAAAGGACAAAATAAGACATCAATTGGGATAACAAAATAATGTTAGCTATTACAGTAATACAGCCTTTTTTTGTAACTGAATAAACAATATAGTTGTATATTTATTACTCAACTGGTAGATTGGGATCCAGATCAGTTTCCCTCTAACCATTTTCTTGTTATAGCTTTTTTTGCAAGCTATCAACAGAATCCTCATCTAGTATTTATCAGATTTGTCTTGCAATTAAATTTTTTTATGACCAGAGTATAGAGTTAAAAAAACTAAATTGAAAGGGTACCGTGAACATGCCCTTTAAATTTCTTGCGAATATTTCTGAGCTTTAGAGGCATATTTCACTATATCGGATGCAAAATGCTGTGTGTACTGAATATCCGAATATGCAGTATTCATAAGCTGAATAATATTGGGAGTTATGATATTTGGACTGACGTATTGGGGCATTTCAATTAAATAAAAGGTCAAAGTAAATGAGAGTAAATTTGTATTTAAATGGATATTTCACCCACAAATGAAAATTTGATCATTTACACACCCTTGTTGTTCCAAACCTGTATTAATTTCTATCTCACAACAGACATTTTGAAGAATGTTGGTAATCAAACAGTTTGGCTTCCATACTAGAAAAAAATATGATGGATGTCAGTGGGGACCAGAAATTGTTTGGTCACATTCTTCAAAATACAATTTTATATTCAGCATGAGATTAATACTCTTTTAGGTTTGGAACAATTAGAGGGTGAGTGAATGATAACAGAATCTTTAATGACTTTTCTGCTTGGACTAAAATTGTGTCTGTAGAACGATTCTGATTTCTGTTTCTCTTCTATAGGATGGTGTAGATCGAGAGTATTACGCAGTGTTTGATGGACATGGAGGAGTGGATGCTGCCACATATGCTGCCACTCACCTGCATATCATACTGAGCCAGCAGGAGGCGCTAAAAAGCGATGCTGCCACAGCTTTCAAAAGCAGCTTCAAACAAACAGATGACATGTTCAAGATCAAAGCCAAGAGAGAGGCAAGAACAACCAAACGCATTAACAATTAGAGTGCTACAACAATGTATATACAGTTAATCAAAATGAATCAACCCCCATTGCAAATCAGGTGTATTGGCAAAATATAAACAATTGAACACTTTTTGAACGAAACCTTCAAAACAAAATTAGGAATTTTGTAGCAGATGTTTGAACCAGACTGAATGTGTAACGTATAACTTTTAAACATGCACTACTGAAAACATCATTCAGTTAGTTGACATTTGTGTTGGCTTTCTTCAAAGTGTACACTTGTTTTTTTAATATATATATACAGTATACTATATATCAGCCTACCTGCTTCTGAAAACACTGCACAATCAGTTTTAGCGGTTAGAATATCTTTCCCCTCACTTGTCAAGCTGGTGCATTCGGTGGAAATTCACGTTGGAAAGAAATATATTCACACCTCTCCCACTTCTTAAGATGCAACCGTTATGTGTATCAAATGTTCCTACGCTGTAATAAATACAGATAAATATAGTCCATGTTCCCCCTGTGGTTAAATACATGGTAAGAAAACGGAGCAAGCTTGCTGCAAGTCTCTGTCTGCCTCCACAGGTACAGATATGAGTAAACACTTTCTGTTTCACTGACACGGACAGTGCACGTAAACAAGAATTCATTTTACTGTTAATAATTGACATGCACTTGACCTTTTCTATGGGCCAGTCAGTACCACTCTAAGTTATCATCTATTTTATATGAAAATGTTTAATTTTTGAAAGCCTTAAATTATACCAAATTAGTTGAATGAAGTGTTATGAAATGGTAATGGTAGGTTTGTAGAGTTATTTAAATGTAAATGAATTATTTGGACCCATTAATTATTTATTTTTTTGTTTGTTTTTTCATTGTGAGATTATTGAAAATCAAGCAATTAATGCTTGTCAAAATATATAGTTAAAATATGAATTTTTCATTTTTTATTTTTATGAAAAAAATATTTTATTAAATAAATTCTATTTAATTCATTATTTTATTCAGGGAAGTTAATTTTGAATAAAATATCACATTTATGTACATTTTAATGGAAACTAAATTTGTTGTTTATTTTAGTGCAGTTCATTTTAGACAATTAAAAAAATTCAAAATTGATTAAAAAATTCAAAATTTTAGACAATTTAAAAGTCATTTAATAGCACAATTTAAAAAATATTAAAAATAAATGGGTACTTCTTTTTTTTTACCATTTATATTTTTCATTGTGAAAATATTTACGTGACAATTAGGCACCCGCTACAAAAATGTACTGTAAAAATGTTCATTTATTTACTTACATTTTTTTTTTACTTAGCAATTCTATTCCATTTTATTAAATTCATTAATTTAGCGTGGTTAATTTTTAACATAAAAGCACAATAAAAATGTATTGTGATTTATGTGCTAAGTATTGTAATTATATTTAAGTTTTAATCGATTGACAGCACTAGAATTTGTTAATGGTGATTAATATTTGCTTTTACTAAATTCAGTTTAGGCTGACTTAATTTTTTTTTATCTCGGTATTGTTTTAATATTATTATTAACTATTTTACTGTATTACAGTAATGAGAATCAAAATTATAATAATGTGGCACAGTATCAGTGACTACAGGATGGCAAAGTAAACATTGTTTTGTTTGTGTCTCCTTCAGCGTCTGCGCAGTGGCAGCACTGGTGTGGCTGTTTTACTGACCTCCAATCACCTCACTGTCTCCTGGCTGGGCGACTCTCAAGCTATGCTGGTTCGACAGGGAGAACCAGTGACCCTAATGGACCCGCACAAACCGGAGAGAGAGGTACAAGACACTACAAGCCACTGCTGACCAATAGAGACTGAACCATAGAGACCGTATCAGATGCTCATCTGTTCTCCGTGAGCCGCTGAAATGTGAGACCGAGGAACTGACTGCTGACTACATGCTGAATCAATATTAGCGCTGTATGCTGCATACTTACTACAGCGACTGAATGCCAAAAGCACCAGAATGGTCTTTAGAGAGGCAGTGATTGACTTCAAATCCTTGTTTCTGAACATATTTTGCATGCAAAATAAATATATAATTAGTTATACAAAAGATTAAAGGGATACTTCACCTCCATATTTAAAATTGGTCATTTATGTAAAATTAGTGTTGAATTTGGAGCTTTCTAGACTGAGAAAAGCCAGTAAATGTATTTTTGGCTCATGTGGATGAAAGACAACAACTCCCAGAATGCACTTGCTTCGCTGCCCTAGGAGGCCACGCCTACCGGTGACAGCGCAGTAGTTAAACAACAAGTCTAGGCTACTAGTGAGTCTCGTGGTGAGTCTGCCCGATAATGTTTTACGGTCTACAGTCGCCATTCATCATGTTTACTGTGGCAAGCGGGACGAGTGAGGGCCGCGGGAGAACGACGCGAGGCCGGTGGCGTGATTACTGACGAGCGACACCTGTGAGACGCACCGGTCTCGTATCTCTCACGGAGGAGCGGGAATTTTCTTAGCAATGTTAAAACGCACATCAACCGATCACTTGTTTAGCGTTCATGTAAACACTAAATTCAGATTCACCAATCGGAATGAATTCAGTTAGATTGAAACAAAAGCTCTCCATGTAAACAAGGAATGGCGATTGCAGAAAGCGAAAGCTGAATCCCGGACATCGACGGCCAGACATGTCCGGGGAAAAGTGGACGTACTACTCCGCTTTCTCCACAGAACAAGAGCCTGCTAGCTTAGCTTCCAAAAAAAGATGGCTGACACTATGTGTTCATTCTGTGTGTGAGCGCCCTCTATTGGCGGGTTGAGAACATGCGGGACAGACCCAACTACTGACTGAAGTCTTTAGCCTTTGGCCAAAAAATCATCCGATGACGCAGAATGACGATTTTTGCATCATCGGAGGATTTTTTCCAGACAAAAAATAGATAAATCTCTCGCCTCAGGGGGATATGAGGGTGGAAAGCTCGGTAATTGGAAAATACTACAGGTTTTCTACTAATGCAAAGCTTAATGCTAAATCCTGAAGTATCTCTTTACGAGATTTGTAATTAGGTAAATATAGGGGTTTGCTTGTCCTATTTCAATATAGTATGTAAAAGCTCCAGTATTTTGACTGTTTGTGCTTCTGTGCAGGATGAGAAGAAAAGGATTGAGGATCTGGGTGGATGCATCGCTTTCATGGGTTGTTGGCGGGTAAATGGTACCTACGCCGTTTCCAGAGCAATAGGTGAATGTCTTAGCCTTAAAACAACAGTAAACCAAAAAAACATTCGGATATTTCCCACAGAATGCGTTTTTCTTTTCCATTCCACTGCTCTAGTTTTTCCATTAAACTTTTTTTTTTTAAAACGCGTCTCTAGATCTTGCGCTGTTTTTTTTTTTTTTTTTCGTTCCACTGACTCGCAACTTGCTCTTTTAACAAGTGTGAATCGCTCCATAAGTAGTTAAAAGTGTGGCTGGCTGATATATTGAATATTTGTATGATATTTAAATATTCAACAATGTGAATTTCAGTGATTTTAAAGTGTTTTTTATTTAAGTAATAAGATGGATGCTTTAATAGTGTCTCTGATTTACATTTCAGTTGCAGAAAAGGACTGTTCATTTTAGCGTATCAATACAAAACTCAGATTCAATAATTGATCAATGTTCACGGAAATGATCTTTTTCATTTACTAAAATGTGTTAATAAAATATATCTTGGTAAATATTATTAAGATGCTATATTTGTGCATATATAATTTTTGTGGGAGACAATTTGAATCTATTATAAAATAAAAAAAGAGTAATTAAGTAATTCAGGGCAAATACATTAATATCAGGATTAGTGGTTTAAAAATATTAAGATGTATTTTATTTTAGATTGTATTGTAAAATGTAATTTATTCCTGTGATAAAAGGTGAATCAGCATCATTACTCCAGTCTTCAGTGTCACATGATCATTCAGAAATCATTCTAATATGCTGATCTGCGGCTCAAGAGACATTGCTTATTATTATTAATGTTAAAAAAGTTTGTCCTGCTTGCTTATTTTTTTGAAACTGATAGATTTTTTTCAGGATTTGAAATATAAATATATTTACTGTAACTTTTGATGAATTAAATATTTTTTTCAAGTCATACTGATCCCAAATCTGAACAATAGTGTACTGTATATAATGTATATTTTTAGCTGTATTACCCAGCTCTATTTATAGCTAAATGGATTAATTTGCTGCTATTGTAAAAATTGTCTAAATTATTTTTAATAGTAATGTAGTACTTATTTATAATAGTAGTAGTATTTACAGTGCAAGTTAATAAAATAAATGTTATACATTTTTTTTCTTATCCTCAAAAGGTGATTTTGATCAGAAGCCGTACGTCTCTAATGAAGCTGACAGCTCATCGGTCCATCTGAACGGGGATGAAGACTACGTCCTCCTTGCCTGTGACGGCTTCTTTGACGTGGTCCGGCCTGGGGACGTCCCGGGGCTGGTCCTGGAAGCTCTGAGGGAGGGCAAAGGCTCGGGGGAGGACGTGGCCCAAAGTCTGGTGGCCCAGGCCAAAGCTGTTGGATCCAGTGATAACATCACAGTTCTTCTGGTGTTCCTAAAGGAGCCTCAGCAACTTTTGACCCACGAGACGAGCTCGAGAACAGAGGAAGGAGCTACGGCTGCAGCCACGATCATCTGAAAAGGGGAAGAAATTATACATGATAGAAGCTGATGGTCTTTACACCATCTCGAATGATGTGAGTTGTTGAATTTGAAAAGCAAGTCCATTCATGCATTCAGAAGAAAGCATTGAACGTCAGTGAAAGGCGTTTCCTCGTTTGTTTTTTATTCCCCACCCAAGAATGTCGGATCCTTATTAACTCTCTTTGTTGCTAAGTCTGAACTTGCTTTCATTTTTGTTTCCATTTTTTTAACTATTTGCCTTGTTTTTACCAGCTTATATTTACATTTACTGGTGCGTAAAACCTTTGAGACGTGTTAAGGACATTTTTCAGTGCGTACTTTGTTCGTTGCACTCCTTATTTGATACGACTGTTACAACGGAGAGAAAACTAATGTGAATTGTCTTAACAGATACAGTATTGCATTGCGTTTCGGACCACATTGGCTTCAATAATGAAATAGTCGCCCGTAAGGCCTTCAGCTCTTGTCAGCAGATGTACTCCAGTGTTGTAGATGGTTAGTATTTTTAAAACTGTTATTTATTTGAAAAAATCTATATTTATGGCTGTACTGTACTGTGTAAACACGCTCTTTCATGTGCCAAAAGTCTGACTTTGCCAAGATCATTTCTCGGTTGCTGAACGCTACTGTAGTTTCTTCTAAATGTACAGTGAACTTTTATTTATTCATATCATTTCCTTATGCGTTTTGTTGCAGTGCCTTCTTTCCCTAAATATCAGTGTTAATACTGGCATGTGTGTTGTATTATCATAGCCTGGCTTTGCAAACCACACGTCCTGCATGCCGCAAGTCGTCTCGCATTACAGACACTCAATATTTTGAAAGCCTCGTGATGAGTAGCTGATATAGTAGCACAGTCACTATAATGTGATAAGGCCAAGAATATCGCTAACCTAATGTAAACCATATGTGGAAGGTGAAGACAGAGCGATATGTTGATTTGGTCTATGTATGGGGGAAATGTCTTGTTTTTCCCTGGTAGGTTCAGTCCTTTTGCATTTAATATTTGAATAAAAAAAGACTGCTTTAGATTACCTTAAAATGCACATTATTCAGCATATTTAAAAATCTCCAAAATGTCCAGTGGCATCCTGAAGTCTGAGACCACAATGAAAATCTGGGATTTAAAATATTTACACTACTATTATTTTTTTCATATGCAAAAAGGATGCTTTTGTTTGATCAAAAATACAATAAACCAGTAATATTGTGAAATATTACAATAAAAAAATTAAAATGAATTTTATTCATGTGATGGCAGAACTGAATTTTCAGCATCATTGTGCTGCTTAATATATTTGTGGAAACGTATACTTTTTTTTTTTACATTTTAAAAGAACGGCATTTATTTGAAATTTTAATTTTTTTTTGTAAGATTGTAAAAGTCTTGACTGATGCTTTTGATACATTTAATGCATCCTTGCTAAATAAAAAATATTAATTTCTTAAAATAAAAATCCCAAATATATATTATGTATACATTTCTTTTTTCTTTTTCATGAATTTTAAACAAATATAATAATATGAAAAAGCATTTTTGACAGTGGTCTCAGACATTCGGACCTCACTGTATTTCGTAAATCTGGTGTTAATTCCCCTATATTGACAAACAAAAGAATTGCTCTTTCAGTTTAGATATGGGATGCTAATTCTGTAATATGTATTTTTCTTGTTTGTTTGTCGTAATTGTCAATGACTGTATAAGCCAAATATCTATGCATTAGAATCAGCACTGTGTTCATTAGGAAATGGGACGTTCCATCGATGGGGAATTTTGTAACATCTCAGTGGTTAATTATAGTTTACCAATGCCTTATTTTTTCTCAAAATTTCAATGTTCTGTCATCATTTACTCTGCCTAATGTTATTCTAAACCTGTATCACTCTTTTTTTGAGTGTGTCACACAAAATGAAATATTTTGAAAAATGTTGTTTTGGACTCTATTGACTTTCATGGGCAGTTAAAGTATTCTTCATGATATCTATTCAATGACGTACTGTAAATGATGTCAGAATTTTCATTTTGAACGATTCCTTTTACATTCACAGTAGTGCCAAATGAAATTGTGCATTCAAAAAGTGCATTGATCTTGACCTCTAATGCATTTGTGTTACTTAGTAGTATTAATGTTGTATTTTTAAAGGGTTTGAGCACTGAACTAGGCTTACATGTGTTTTTGTCTAGTAAAAAGAAAAGATAAAGTGATCTTGAACGTACGCATCAGTAGATTTTGTGCTGATGTGCAATTTTATACAAACTTTTTGCCTGCATTTTGTTTCACAGGACATTTTGTAATTGTTGCTGTTTGTATTACTAAAAAGTGAACATGTACATATGTGATAAAGTGCCTTATCTCAATATAATTTTCAGAATTATCATTTTTTGTACAGTCAACTTGACTGATAAACCTAAGGGATCATACTCTTTTTGGACCTAACTTTGTCTCCTTACTAGCTAACGTTGTGTACAAGTAACGTTTTGTGCAGTTTTATACTGGATAAAATCATACTAATTCCACACTGAGTATACAGTGAATCGTGTTACTAAATGTTCTCGCATGGTAATGTTGATGTCAGCGACTTATTTTATGTCTGTTAAAACATATCTGAATGTGCTATCCTGTGGCATTTCCCAGCAATTGCGGGAAGCATCTCTTATGCAGCTTGTCATGGATACAAACATTGGCTTTAATCTCATATAATGCGAATAAAGTACTTTTCACATCCGTTTGGTGTCTGTATTTGTTTGCATCATTTTCCTTCTGTGACCTGCACTAGTGGTTTACACACTTGACAGTTTTAGTTTAACTGTCTCGAGTGTGGTTGGCACAAGTAAACCACTCAACTATAGCTTACCATGGTCTCCTTCCACAGGAGCTTACAGTCTCATGAGAAAACGTGATAGCTTCGTTTAAGATTTAAAGATATTGCAAATCTAGTACACAGAGACATGTACAAACATGATTGTACAGTCACAACAAAATGGCTACAGAGCAAAACTCTTTAGGCAAAAATTATTTTATTTGCTTCATGACCAAATTACAGCTTACAAATAGCCTAAATATAGTGTTCAACAAATCACAAAACTCGTGGTTCGGATCATATTACGGTTTTTGATTCACATACTACACATACACGCATAAGAAAGTTACTGTTTGTTATGCGTGTGTGTAACTGTAGTGTAGGTACAGGCTTGTAATAATTAGGCCTAAATGTAAAATAACGTTGTTCTCTGTATAAATCAAAGTTGTGTTTTGCTGTTCGTTTAACTTAAAGTTATAGTTTACCCAAAAATGATGGTAATGTTGGAACTAGACAGTTGACAGCACCCATTGAATTCCATAGTAGAAAAAAAAACGATTCCAAAATATTATGGAAGTCAATAGTCATTAGTCAACGTCAAGTTTTTAATTTCCAACATTCTTTAAAAATGACTTTAAAGGGATAGTACACTTTGAAATAATTTTTTGATGTTTTAGCTTACCTCAAGGGCATCCAAGATGTAGTGTCTTTGTTTCCACAGTTTTGTCAATTTTGACATTTTTCGGTCAAACCGTTCTTGTCTGTCAGTCATATAATGGAGGTTTAGGGGGTCTACATCAAAGAGCATGCACAGAGAAGTCCAAATTAAATATGATTTAATGACTTGTAAATGTAACATTGATGGCCTAAAACACAAAACGAGCGGTTAGTGTGAGAAAATGAACAGTATTTATAACGTTTTTACCTCTTGTTACCACAGTCACGTCCAAGAACCTGTTGAGCGATGACCAATTCTAGTAGGCTACATTTAATATTTATTAACATCATTAGGCCTAACATTTACACAAATCAAATAATAAAGTTTTTTTTCCCTCCTGTAAATGCTTTGTACACAGAAATGTATAACTTATAGGCTACTGTACTGTTTGTCACCCCTTTACCTCAGCAGTGTTGGGGATAAGTGTAAACAGATTTTTTAAGTAGCCTGCCCTAACTGGTAAAGCAACATATCCATTTTAAATTTTAAAAAATATCATTTCGTTCGTAACTTACATTTTATAATAAGTAACGCCAGTAGGCCTACTCTGTTTTTCCCATTTTCCAACACCTGTTGAAAAAACAAATTGAGGGGAAAGGCGCAGGTGTGGATTTGCATTTCATTCAGCGTTAAACTTATTAATTTCACTTTTGATGCAAAAGGGTCTTAACATTTGCCAAAAATATAGGCTATATTTATATTTTTGTTATTAAAAACAAGCAAGCCCAGGCCAGGTGAGAAAAAGTTACAAAAGTAACGCAACACATTACGTTTACTTTCCATAAAAATAACTTTCCTGTTCCTGTAACGTTATGCTTAAACTGAACTCAGTTCGTGTTGCAATATGATAGATCTGTTAATAATTTCCTAACTATTAGATTCATAATTTTGTAAAATCAGGATGACCAACCCATCATAAATCCCGATTTATCAACAGATTACCCTCGTCTGACTTTGTAAATTAAGGCATCTTTAAAACCTCTTGAGAACTGAAGTGTGTAACTTCTATCTCTATGGTAACCACTCTCCGCTCCCTGCCCACGTGATCTGCTCCGTTACTTCCTGCGGCAACACTCTCGCTCGCGCTACCTCTGCTGCTCCTGCAGTCAGTCAGTCTCACCACGCGCAGATTACTATCACTACATATATGCCAGTAAACAACGTTCCAGCCGTCCCTTTCCTTTCACTCTGACGCCAAGTCTTCGGTTTCGTTTAAACACGTCGCTTATACTGCCTCTCGCCGTGTTTTTTCAACCGAGGAGCTTTTTCCTGATCTTTATAATCTGCTTTGGGTAAGAAAAGAGCGTTTGTTGTGCGTGTAAAGGCAGCTCAGTTTCTCAGAAATGGCGACAGCTGCGGTATCTGCCCCTACTGGCGGCGGCTCGAACCCCGGATCCGGTGCCGAGTTGGTCCGCGGTCAGGCTTTCGATGTCGGGCCGCGTTACAGCAACCTCTCGTACATCGGAGAAGGTGCATACGGCATGGTTTGGTAAGATGCATTTATACTTGTAAACATGTTACAATTTGTCATCGTTGTTTTTCCCGAGTATGTTTAATTTTCTTGCTTGGATTTGTTCATTCAATCACAGCGCTATGCTCGTTGACATGGACGTGCTGCTTTCTCTTGAAACCAGTTGCATGCACTTTTCTTTTTTATGCTGGACTTTTAAGCATTTTCCCCCTGAGTTTTAGATTTGCATTGACTGAAAGAGACAAGTTCACACAGAGTCTGACATCTGTCAAAGCAGCTCTGATCATGCTGCTATTGGAAATTCATTATTCATTCATTTTGCATTGTAAATTTAGTTTGTATGCTGTCTTTATCTCTCTCTCTCTGTCAAACGTATTTTCTTTATTTTAACTATCAACTTGATGGCATTGTAATTAAATTTAATTGATGTAGGCTATTTCCCACTAAATGTAATATCACACAATTGCTTTGCACTGACTTGCAGAAACGTGCATGCTATTTTATGCACTCGTGCATGACCTCTGGGTCAGTTCCAATCTGTAAATTGCTAAAACCAGACATCAGGCATTGATTCACTTTATGTATATATAGACGTGAAATTTGCGCAGTGCTTTTCCAGGAATGTCAAGGTGGCAGGGCTCTCCAGGGCGGCGTGGGCGCGGGCTCCCCAAGGTTGTGCAAAAGTGGTAGGAACAAGAGGCACTTGGATGCATTTCGCTGTTGGATCTGCCCACGAAAAACAGTTGAAATTGATAGTCCTTGAGTTGGATCTACTCTAACTTTAACCGTTGGCTAGAGTGGATCAGCATAATTTTTTCCCAAAATAAATCTATCACCAGGCTCCCAAGACTTGGTGAATGTTACCTAATTTGTAAGTCGAATACGTATACAGCTAGATTTCTACAGTGGTGTTGAAATTGTATAACAAAGGAGAATTGTTATGGTTAAGTTTCAAGTTAGCTTTGTTACAGTTGAGAGACTGCTGGCTCAAATTTGCAGTCTGATCGCCCATCTGTTCTGGTGAGAGGAGTCCGTTGGCTAAACGAATGAGCTCATCGCTGGCAGGCCTAGTTTTGCTCTTCTCGCATGGATGAATGAATGGTTCACACCCACTTCCAACAGCTACAGACTAGAACAAGCCACCCTGGGTTGACTGTCATATGGACGTGTAGGCCTGTAACATGTTGTGCTGAACAGGCTGCAACAGTACTGAAGCCTTTATGCAGCCTTGCTTTTGACTGACAACAACAGCCTTTGCAAAAGAGTTTGAGCTAAGAAGAATGTCGATTGATAATTGAATTCAATACGATGTTATACTGTGTGGGGATGGGGATGAACATGCATGGCTTGCTGTCATTTTATTAAGACAAGGTGTCTTAAATGTTGTACCCTTGCAAGTCCTGCAAGGATTGTTGTTGGGTAAGATTTGTGTTTTTGAAAGAAGTCTCTGATACTCTGGGTGGGGGGTGAGTGGGTGGGACGTTTTGTTATGTTAAACAGCAGTACAATCCAGGGCTCCAGGGTCCAGATTAACTTTTCCAGTGGTTGAACTGGTGCTACCAACTTTCTCAGTTGGTCGCACCAGCATTTGATTTGGTTGCACCTTTTTTTTTTTTTTTTTTTTTTTGCTACATGCCATGGGATTAATCAATGCATGCTGATGAATAGTGGTTTTAATGGACCAAAGCTAGTAAAGGCTTTCTGGGTTGCAATATAAATACCTGATATTATTGCCAAATTTCTGGATTTTCATGGATTTTGTACAGTAATTTTAAGCATTTTACATTTGAATTATATACAATCTATTTAAATTTGAATCATTATCTATCTATTTTCTATCAGCATCATCTTTCTATCTTTTAAAACATCATTAAACATTCAAATGTATTCATTACATTTTAAAAGATTAGAGTATTATAATAAGCTAATACAGATTTTTCGTTATCAAAGTGTATAGTTGTAACAAAAATCAGAAATCTCACACTCCTTACCTTCTGCATTTTATAATAATTTCCTTTTCCTCAGTCGAGCGATTACTCTCATCTAATCGCTTTAAAAAAAAGACGTAGGATGGGGCACGCTGTTTTGTGAGACATTTTAATTTTTATATGCCTTAATCCGTGTATTCGTAATTGGCGCGTTCCACCATCAACGTGCAATGCGCGTGACGTCTACGTTCGTCAATAAATAAACCGCACGTGTCTTACGGAAGAACACTGTAGCCGGAGCTACTTCTCTCCATTAAAGGGTTAGTTCACCCAAAAATGAAAATTCTGTCAGTATTTACTCACCCTCATGTTGTTCCAACCCCGTAAGACCTTCGTTCATCTTCGGAACACAAATTAAGATATTTAAGATATTAAGATCGCTCCTGCATACAGTCCATAGGCTTCTTGAGGGACTGGCTCTTGCTGTCCTCGAAAAGTCATTAAAGACATCGTTAAAATAGTCCAAGTGACTACAGGGGCTCAATCTTAAGTTTATCAAACGACGAGAACACTTTTGTACGCAAAAAAACAACAAAAATAACGACTTTATTTCAACTATTCGTTTATTTCTCCCTCTGCACGAGTCAGGTTACTAGCTTAATAGCGTAAGCTTCTGTTATTGTACGTCACACGCATCACACACACATGACCAGCGTCGGCCAATAGTGAGTCTACGTGTGACGTAGCTCTACGCAATCACACTACGTTAACTGACTTACAGGCTCATGGAGAAGGAAGTGAATAGTTGAAATAAAGTCGTTATTTTTTGTTGTTTTTTTGCGCACAAAAGTGTTCTCGTCGTTTGATAAACTTAAGATTGAGCCCCTGTAGTCACTTGGACTATTTTAACGATGTCTTTAATGACTTTTCGGGGACAGCAAGAGACAGTACCTCAAGA